AGAAAAACACAACTTGGGCACAAATTCAACTAAAATTCTTAGAAGAGAATAAAGCAAAGGTTATGGGAAAGAAACAGGAGTTTTGGAAGAAAGAGTCAGAGAGGGGTTAACAAGGTGGCTCAAGATGTACGAAACCTTGCCCAAGCAACAAACTCCCTGAAAATTAGATTGAACCAAATAGAAGCCAGTGACTCCATGAGACAACAAGAAGTATTAAAAGCAAATTGAAAGACTGAAAGCAGGGGGCAGCTAGGTGGTGCAGTGGATAGAGCACCATCCCTGGATTCAGGAGGACCCGAGTTCAGATCCGGCCTTAGACAGATAACACTTACTGGCTGTGTGACCCTGGGCAAGTCACTTAACCCCCATTGCCCAACCAAAAACAAACAAAACAAAAACAAAACAAAAAAAAAGACTGAAATCATAGAAGAAAATGTAGGATATCTCATAACAAAAACAACTGACCTTGAAAACAAATAGAAGAAAAAAATTTTAAGAATCAGCAGACTATCTAAATGGCATGACCAAAAAGAGTCTAGACATCATATTTCAGGATATCTTAAAAGAAAACTGTCAAGATTTTCTTAAAACCAGAGGGTAAAGTAGAAGGAAGAATCCATTGTCACCTCCTGAAGGAAACCCCAAAATGGAAACTCCCAGGAACATCATAGCCAAAATCCAGAGCATCCAGGTCAAAGAAAAATAAATAGTACTAGCAGCCAAAAGACTTGTCCAAGGCCCAAGGAACTGTAGTCAGAATTACACACGAGTTAACAGTTTCCATTACAAAGGAGCATGGGACTTAGAATAGAATATTCCAGAAGGCAAAGAATATCAGCTTCCAGCCAAGAATAACTTACTCAGCCAAACTAAGTGTGATACTGCTGGGGGATGAAATGGACCTTTAATGAAATACAGGACTTACAAGCATTCCTGATAAAAAGAATATAGCTGTGTAGAATCTTTGAAGTTCAAACACAGAGGCTAAAAGAAACATAAGGGGCAGCTAGGTGGCACATTGGATAGAGCACCAGCCCTGGAGTCAGGAAGACCTGAGTTCAAATCCAGCCTCAGACACTTGACATCTACTAACTGTGTGACCCTGGGCAAGTCACTTAACCCCATCGCCTAGCCAAAAAAAGAAAGAAAGAAAGAAACATAAAAAGATAAACACAAATGAACAATGATAAAGAACTAAACAAGGTTGAATTGCTTACAGTCTAATATGGGAAAGATGATGTGTCCTCTCCAAACCCTGTCATTATGAGGGATCATTGAAGGCCCGGAACTGATTCTTTTATGTGTTGATGATGTGAAGAGAAGAATATGGAAAGAGAAGTGAAGACGAATATACTAGGGGGGAAAGAAAAGGAAAGTAAAGAAAAAATTATCTCACGTTATTAGGGTACACAAGTAGAGCATGCAGACAAGGAAGAGAGGACAAGGAGGAGTGACCAGTACTTTTACTTCACTCTCATTTCAGCTAGTCAAAGGAGGGAAGAATATAGGCACACAGTTGGGTACAGAAGCACATTTCACTCAAGGAAAGAGGGAGAAGAGAGAATTAGAAGGAAGCCATATTCTCAAGGAGGGATTATTTCTAAGCAAAATGAACTTTTAAGAATGTACAAAGATATAGCTCCTTTTGAGGTAACAAAGAATGGGAATCTGAGGGTGTGCTCATCAATTGAGGAAAAGTTGAAGTTACAGCAATAAATGTGATGAAATAAGATTGTGCTCTAGGAAATAATACTACTAATAAATAATAACTAACGTTTACATAGTGCTTACTATGTGCAAGGCACTGTGCTAAGTGCTTTACAATTATTATCTCATTTGATCCTCACAACAACCCTGGGAAGTAGGTGCTATTATGATTCCCATTTTGCATTTTAGGAAACTGGGGCAGATAGTGGTTAAGTGACTTGCTCGGGGTCACACAGCCAGTAAGATTCTGAGGCCAGATTTGAACTCAGGTCTTCCTGACTCCAGCGGCATCTAGGTGGTGCAGTGGATAGACCACCAGGCCTAGAGTCAGCAAGACCTGAATTCAAATATGGCCTCAGATACTCACTAGCTGTGTGACCCTAGGCAAATCACTTCACTCTGTTTGTCTCAGTTTCCTCATCTGTAAAATGAGCTAGGGAAGAAAATGGCAAACCACTCCAGTAACTTTGCCAAGAAAACCCCGAATGGGATCATGAAGAGTCAGACACAACTGAAATGACTCAACAACAACAACAACTTCCTGGCTGCAGACCCAGCACTCTATCCCCCGTACCATTCAGCTGCCCAGAAAAGATAAAGGGAAAAACCCAGGGTGACTTAGGTGAACTGATGCGGAGTAAACAACTTTGAAAGAATTGGGAACTTTGATTAGTGTGATCACCAACCACCAATCACCAGTCTATAAATACATCTCGGCCATAACCAGTGCAGAAATTTGTTTTCCTTAACTATCCGTGTTTGTAACAGTGATTTTGTTTTGCTTTCATTCTCAGTTAGGAGTAGGGAGAAGTGAGGGTGGGAAGAAGAGAAAAGACAGATTTTTGTTGATTGAAAAGAATATGTAATTTTTTCAAAAAGGTATATAAGAACTATAACCTATGCAATGGAAAATTATAATTCCAGAGAACTGATGTTGAAGCATGCTACCTACCCACCTCTTGACAGAGAGATAATATACTGAAAATAAAGAATAAGTTGTACAATTTTTGGACACAGCCAGTGTGGGAATTTGTTTTGTTTTACTATGCATATTTGTTACAAAGGTTTTGTTTTTATTTTTTCTCTCCCTCAGGAGCAGAATATGAGGAGGGATAGAATAGCCAAAAAGAAAAAAAAAGGAAGAAAGAAAGGAAAGGGAGTCATTAGAATAAAATCTTTTTTAAAAATATAGAGAAGAGAATAGGAAGAAGCACAGATAAATGGGATAGGCTACAAATTTAATTTATTAGGTGCTTAAAAAACAAGCTATACATAACAGAGATCTGCAGTTTCATATACAATCTTCTTTTTCTGTTCTATGTATATAGAAATAACTGCTCAGGAAGACCTGAGTTCAAATCCAGCCTCAGACACTTGACACTTACTAACTGTGTGACCCTGGGCAAGTCACTTAACCCCATTACCTAGCCAAATGTTTTAAATGTATATTTTTATTTGGTTTTTGTTAATTTCAGAATTAAAAAAAAAACAAAACATTTTTTTAAGAAAGAAAAGGCTATTGGATTTGGTAATTAAGATATCATTGTTATATTCCGAGGAGGTCATTGATAAAAAGAAAGGCACCATATACACCAGAATATTTATAGCAGTACTTTTTGTGATAGCAAAAAACAAGAAACAAAGTAGATGACCATTGATTGAATAATGGCTTAAAAAAAACTGTAATACATGAATGTAATAGAATATTACTGTACTGTAAGAAATGGCAATATTATGAATATTGTGAGAAACATGGAAAGACTTACATGAACTGAAATTAATTAAGCAAAATGAACTAAGTAGAGCCAGGAAAACTATTTATGTGTATGTATATATGTGTATATGTGTGTGTACATACATAAATATATATGTACACATACATATATTACAACAATTTAAGTGGAAAGAACAACAAGAAGAGAATAATTGACAATTAATCTTGCAAAATTACAAAGAACAAGCTTGGTCCCAAAGAAAATACCTTTGCAGAGGCCAAAGTTAAGGGGGAAAGGGAGAGTAGTATCTATGGGGATGAAACATTACATAAATTATCAGATTTTTAAAATGAATTCATCAGTTTTGCTATTTTTCTCTTGTTTTTTTTTTTCTTTTTAAAAAATGGTTATAAGAGTAGGACTTCTTGATGGTGAGGGGGTTGGAAGAATGATACAGGGGCAAACTTGGATAATGTAAAAGCCAAAGGTATTGATAATTTTTTAAAAGAGATTAGTGTTAACTTTAGTAAGGAGTAAAGGATGCAAGAGTAGAGTGTAATATAGTTAATTTGGTTTTCTCAAAGGGTCAAGAGAGGGAAGGAAGAAGAGTATAGCCAGTATAAGTGATAGCCTGGGGAGGAATTGAGGGGCAGGGACAATGGGGGTCACGGTGAAAAGGAAGAAGGGGGGGAGGGATCATGAGGCATAGGGAAGGCTATAATAGTAAAAGGTATTATTATTATTAGATAAAGAGGAATGTTTTGGGGTGATGTCAAAGTAAGTAGGAAGTAGATGGCCTCTACCTGACATCTGACTAGAAGCTGGTATAATTGTCTTATTGCCTCCTAGAACATTCCACCATATCCGCTGTGGTTGAGTGTGTGTGTGAGAAGAGGGAAATAAAGTACATTTGGAGTCACAGAGACTCTCTCTGTCACAATCTCTACTTCTTGCCATTTTACAATTCACTGTTTGTATTGTTGTTGTTCAGTCATTTCCATCATGTCCAACTCTTCGTGGTTTTCTTTGGCAAAGATACTGGAGTGGTTTGCCATTTCCTTCTCTAGCTTATTTTACAGATGAGGAAACTGAAGCAAACAAGGTTAAGTGATTTGCCCAGGGTCACACAGCTAGTAAGTGTCTGAGACCAGATTTGAACTCAGGAAGATGAGTCTTCTTGACTCCAGGTCTGGCACTCTATCCACTGCACCACCTAGCTGCCTGTGTTTATATTGGTCCTTTAATAAAGACTTTCATTTCTCACAATCTCAACCTAATCAATCATCAGTTTTTATTTTTGTGACATACACAAAAATTGAAGACAACGGTGTAAATCCAGGATATAGTGTATGTGCAATGAAATTTTTTGCTTACAGTGGATATACTTTTAAAACATTTTCAGGAATGTCTTGTATCTAAAAGCATTGATAAGTGAAAAGCACATTAATAATATTTTTGGCAGGCTGATGAATTTTTTTTTAGTGTCAGAAATCTATCTGTAAAGTGGATAGGTTACTATAAAAATGTTTTATCTAAATGCTGTAATGGTAACTACTAGGTATTACCCATATTCCTTAGGAATTGAACAGGACCTGTAGAGCGATGCAGCAGAGAATTGTGGAACTCATCTCCAGGGTTTCTAATGAAGAGGTCACTGAGGAATTGCTGCATGTGAACGATGACTTAAATAACGTCTTCCTCAGATATGAGAGGTGGGAACTTTTTTTTTCCCTCTGAAAAGATTGTTGGCATAACATCTTAGGGATTTTCTCATAAACAAAGGGGGAGAGAGATTAGAAATGGAAAATACTCATTAGAGATGCTAATTTGTCACCAGATGACAGGTGAAATCCATCTTATTCTCCTGAGAATTGAGCCATAGGAAATTGATATGCAGAATTAGTATTTGCCCTTTATACACACCATTAGGGGTCTGTTCATTTTTCTCCCTCTTCTTCCCTTTCCACCTGGCTCTTTTTTCTCCTCCTGCCCTCCCCGCACCCTACCTCAGGTTTAGGGAGTTGGGTAGGACACAGGGCTTTTGTAATTTGCAAGTCCCTCTCTTAGGTATTGAACCTTTTAAAAGCTTGAGAGGGATAAAAAATCACTGCTGAGAAAAAGGATTGGCTTTTAAGTGCTAGTTTGTCTAGAATGTCTGGATACTGAGCCTTTGAGAGTAATAAAATTCTGCCTTTGGAAAAGAAAGCATAAGGGAAAGGAAAGGAATGGGAAAGAAAAGGAAAGAAAAGAGAACCTAAGCCTGTGAGATACAGTCATTTTGTTGGTTGCTTCTGCTTAACTTTTTCTGTTATAAGGAAGAATTCAGTTGGGGTGGGAGGATACAAGAAATAGTTACGATGTGAAAAACAAAATACATTTATAAAACAAATTTTTTTTCTTAAGAAGAAAAGAAAGTCCATACATCATTTTCTGCTTTCTTATGTCTACCTACAATAGCTGTGAATACTAGCATCAAATTAGGGATGTCCCTTTTCTCACTTAAAGGCCTCACTTGGAAAGAGTAAAAAATACAAAAAACAAAAATTTTATAATTCGCAAAAATAGGTTCAGATAGAAAATACAGTGTCAAGTACTGTTATCTTAACCTTTCTGACTTGTCTGTCCCCTCTTAGAATCCTAAAAATTGAGAACTAGAAGAAATCTTAGCTGTCATCTAGTTCTGGGGTCCAGTGAATATGGATGGATTTTGGGGATCTGTAAATTTTGGGGGAAAACTCCACTTTTGTTTTCACTAACCTTTGGTTGTCTTTGTAATCCTTTGCACTTTATTGGTGCATTAAAACATGATTCTGAGAAGGAGTCCATAGACTTCCCCAGATCGCCAGAGGGAACTGCGGCACAAAAAAAGGTTAAGATCCCTGCTTTAGTTCAACCCATTCATTTTCCAGGTGAGGAAATTAAAATATTAAGAAGTTACATAATATGCTCAAGGTCCTGTAGCCATCCAATGGAAGTCAACAAGCAATATTCAGAATGAGAAGGTCGTGATGCAGTGGAATGAGTACTGGATTTGGTGCTAAAGGCCTTGGATTCAAATCTTACTCCTGTTACTTACTACTTGTGTGACCTGTGGTGGTTGAGTCATTTTTCAGTCGTGTCCAGCTCTTCATGATACCATTTGGGGTCTTTTTGGCAAAGATATTGGAGTGGTTTGCCATTTCCTTCTCCAGCTCATTTTACAGATGAGGAAACTGAGGCAAACAGGGTTAAGTGACTTGCCCAGGGTCACACAGCTAGTAAGTGTCTGAGGCCAGATTTGAACTCAAGAAGATGAGTCTTCGTGACTCCGAGCCTGGCTCTCTATCCACTGTGCCACCTAGCTTCCCACAAGTTATTCAACTTCTCTAGGCCTCACTCTCTTTATTTTTAAAATGAATGGATTGGACTAGCTGACCTCTGAGGGCTCTTCCAGCTCCACATCTGTGATCCAGGACAGGCACCCATATCTCCAGTACAGTGCTCTTCTCATCATACCATGTTTCAGTACTTTATAACCCATTAATTATCAACCAGCTAACTTGTTGGTACTATTGTTATGACTACTACTATTATTATCAGCAGTAACAACAACAATAATAATATAGTGCAAGCCCGGTAGGTGCTCAGTAAATATTAATTGATTATGATAATCCCATACATTTACATAAATACCTGCCTCCAGCAAGCTCAGTGAATTTTGCTAGCTGTTGTTTTTATAAATCTGTTCCCAGCATTCCAGCATATTGGTAGGGAATGGCGGAGCTTGAAGTGCGCTTTTCATTCCCAGTTTACAGATAAAGAAATCACCATACTTAGTATTTGGAGGCCATCGGTAGTAGAACCTACCATGTACTTAGTAGGTACTTCATAAAGGTTTGTTGACTTGAGGCCACAGGAACAAATTTTAGGTATCAGGAATTCCCAATCTAGATGGAAGTGCTTGAGATGGCACTCTCTGCCCAGGACACCAAGTGGTTTTCTTTTCTTTATTATTGACCTGTACGTCCTAACCTTCAGTTCCCTTCGATAGCATATGACACAAGAGAGTATTAATACCAGAGCGTCAGTTTAAAATCTACCTCTTTGTCATATTTCGTTTTTGTGACTCCATCAGAGATTGAGGCCACATTGCACTAAAAGAATTATCCCACCTAGATTTCACTTTTAAAATATTTCTTTTTTTCCTCACTAAGAGTATATAAGAACAGATATCCAGGGTAAGAAATTATCCAGACCTTGACATTTCCATTCTTTCCTATAAAAATCAAGATTGAAAGCACAACATGAGTTTTCTGACATTGATAAGTGTAGGAAGGAAGTCACAACAGGCTAATAACAGACCAACTTTAAAATAACCCACAGAGGCCTCTTTCTCCCCAGAAGCAAGCCCCAGAGAGCTGGGAGGGGGAAGGAAAAGTAGGTGGAGAGGCACAGAAAAGTCTGGTGCAGAGCTTTTAGCTACTAAATTTCTTCTTCGTTCTCTGTTCAACTATAGATTCTTACACACACACACACACACACACACACACACACACACACACACTTACTTTACGTCTTATGAATACCTTGGCATGAGAATGGTTTGGTTGTGCATCAGAATAGGTATGATTCTATAGCCAACCAGAGCCCAGATAATCTCAGGCAATTGGTCAGGACTGACGGCTTCCTGTCAGGGCAACCCAGTAGCTGCTCCCTGGCTTTCATGGACCATTTCAGGAGGTAGAGGTCCCTGAGGTCTCTGTCTCATTTTGTGGTCCCACCTGTTTGCTCAGAGAGGTGGATAAAGTGGCCCACTTACCACCAGCCAAATAATTAAAGGCCTCTGTCTTTATCCAATACCTTTCTCGTTGGACTTGGGGGGAAGAGGCGGGGCAGTACATATTATAGGCGTTAACTAATTATTCTTGACAAGAGTCCTGTGAAATAGCGATGGAGCCCAAGATTATTACCTTCATTTTGTAGATAGGATGCCAAGGTATCCTCAGGTCACAGGGGGAGGTGATGGAGGCTGCCAAGGCTGGTGTGTAGTCTGATGGTGTCTGTGAAATGGTGGATATTGCTCATAATGAGCTAATTTTACACACCACCCTCTGATACATATACACCCAAAAATACCCTGCCTTGGTGGTGTGAGATGAAAGTCAGAGAATCTGCATCTGTTTGCTCTGGATGCCTCCTTGCTGCCTCCCTCCCCCAACTCTGGGAAGGCCTGTGTAAATGTGTGCTTGTGTTCCCTAATGAGCTCCCTAAATAGACTGGGGCTCCTGCCCTCTGCAGGTAGTGCCAGGATCCTCCCTGTCTCCCAGACAACTAAGATTTCCTTCATAACTGAACAGCCTAGCAGTTTGCTGAGTTTGAACCCTCTCCCCATTTGTTCTTTTTTTTTACCCTCACCCCTCCCAGGTTTGAACGGTACCGATCAGGTCGTTCTGCTCAAAATACCAGTAACGGAGTAAGTATCATTTCAGAATCCTTTATGTGCAAGAGGGCTGGTTCTACCTCCCATCATATCTTGGTGATGGCCTCCTTCTCCCACCCCATGGTCTCTGGTATTTGCACTTAAAGGTGTTTTGGGTCAGTGAAGAACATAAGCCCAAGTTGCCAGTATTATTGGGGAGAACCCTAGTTGGAGATTTATTTAATGAATTGTAAGCAGGAAGAAATCATCTGGAAGGTGATTATGAGGTAGGGAGGGGTAGCATAGAAGGCAAAGGCAGACTGTTCCGAAAATTTGAGGGTGTGATCCCATTATGTTGACAAAGTCTCATTAGTAGACTACCTCTAGCTTCTTTTTACACTCACCGAGTTCTTGCTCTAGGCAGCCATTCACTAGTGGTATACCCTTTTTGTTCTTGTGTGATTAAGAATAGAGAATTTCTGGTGTGTGCTGACTACACTAAGCTGTATATGCTGATTCTCAGGGGGACAATGAGGGGATAGTAATAACAGCTACCAGCCGGAAGCCATTAAAAATCAGAAGACTGTTGAAAATTGGAAAGTGGCGTGCATGCTGCAGGTTACCAACTCCTATTTTAGTTTGTAATGACCTTGCTTGTTTTTTAACTGTGCAGCAAGAAATATGGGACAAGAAGCTCACTGCCTCTCTAATGTCCTGACAGGTCCTGAATGAAGTAACTGAAGATAATTTAATAGATCTTGGTCCTGGTTCTCCAGCTGTAGTGAGTCCAATGGTGGGTAACACAGCACCGCCATCTTCTCTTTCCTCACAGCTAGCAGGCCTGGGTAAGTATTGTGTTTAATGTCTTTGTCTCTGTGAATTTCCTTAGTCCCATCATACCCCATTAGAGGCCATATTCTCCACTGAATTTATCTTAGGCAGAGTTCTAAATATCTACCCACCTTTTCTTTCCAGTTAGAAGAGTGTGGGAATAATTATTTTCCTGAATCCATGTTAGAGGTTGTTTTTTACTGTATTTGTGACCTATCCATTTGTTCCTCACCAGTTCCATAGCAACTTTCCAAATCTTCTACTGTTTTTGTATAAGGGAATCATCTTTAAAAGTTTAATTATATTGCAGCTACCCCAAAATTTAAATAACTCACTAAATCCTATGATTCATTTATCATAAAACAATGAGAATGGTTGCTTCTGTTATGTGTATAATGTGTGTGTGTGTACGTACATATATATATATATATATACACACACACACATATATATATATACACATATATATATATGTATGTATGTATGTATGTATAATGGTAAGTTATGATTGTAACAAAAGGAGCATGCTTGGTTTTGCCCTTCCTGGGAGGCAGTATAAAGCATGTGTAGATATTTCCTGCCTAGTTCCAGCAGTCCAATACAGGGAACTGTAGGAGCCAGTTTCCAGTCATTATAATTCATAGGTTGCTACTCTTATCATGACAAAAAGTCTTCTTTTAATTGACTGTAGAGACAAAAAAAGTGGCTAACACCAAAGAAATTGGGGCTTCATGTGTTCACGGATACACAATGACTGGGTGAGAAATAGGGCAGCTGCCTTCCCCCCTCCCCCAGCCTTTTCCCTGAAGCAGAAGATAGCCCTCATCACATGAAGCTGTCAAGGAAAAGAAGCTGAGAGATTGGCAGATCACACCTTTTGTATGTACACTCAGTTTCCTCTCAGCCACTCCTGCAGCCAATAAAAAGACTTTTCATCATCGCCCTGAGTCATCCTGGCTGGCAACTGGCTCCCAGGTTCCACCTGTTGTATTGAAACTAGGCAGAGAATATCCATGCATGCTCTGTAAAATCCACCAAGGACAAATCTGAGCACACTTCCACTGTTAAATAATTAATAGCAGATGAAAAGAAGTGCCTACGATCGTTTTATTACCCCAGTCTCTTTTTCACCTTTATCATATGACCTGTTTGACATTAGACAAGTCACATAATTTTTGTGGCCTCAGTGTCCTGATCTGTAAAATGAAGGGTATGGACTGGATGACTTCTAAGATCCCTTCCAGCTCTAAATCCTGTGATCCTTCTTGCTGGTCTTTCCTTCCCCTTGCTTCTGTAAATTGACTCTTTGCCACTCACTTACAGATTGGGGATTAAAATACATTTATCTTCATCCAGACCCCATATCCCCATCCCTGCAGCTTGTTCCCTGCCCCATGAGCGTCTTAGAGGTGAAACAGAAGTACTTGAATCTGTAATGTATAAAATGTTCACCTTAACCCATTTTGCTGTCTTGGAGAAAAGTGGTGTGTCTGTGACCAGCTTTTCATTATTATCATCTTTAGACTTGGGGACAGATAGCGTCAGTGGAACCCTCAGCTCTCTCCAGCACTGTAACCCCCAAGATGACTTTGATATGTTTGCCCAGACAAGAGGAAACTCCTTGGCTGAACAGCGTAAGACGTAAGTGGGGGCTTTTTAGTGGCACTCTAAAGAAATTGGGAGCAAGAGTGATTGACTCAGCCTTGGGTAAAAGCCAACACAAGGGAGCTTCTATTCATGAGGACCAGCACCACTACCCAGAGCTTTACAATGTGGGGCTGAAGATTTGGCATCTGATGAGGATGTTGAATGGAATTCCCTTTCTCTGCAGTGGGGGAGTTGTTTGTTTGGTAGCAGTGTGTTTTCTACTATCTGTCACAAACAGGAACTTTTCTTTTTTTTCACCCCTAACTCACCGTTCAAAATGAAGCAAACCCCATACCCTGCCCTTGGAGATTGTACGAAGCAGAGTGGGTTACCATATAAATTGGAACTGCAAAAAAAAAAAAAGTTTTACATAGTTATATAAACTTTGGTAAAGAAACTCCCCAAACACCAGCATAACTGGGGTTAGAGATTTAAAAACTGTGATGTTGCTTCTACAAAAATCATTTTCCCAGATTCTTTCACACTTTTTGGCTTTTTATTTTGCTTTGGCTTTTTGTCAAGATTTATCCCAAGTAGGAACACTTCCTCATGCCATCTCTGTCATCCCCTCAGGAATCCCACTGCCCTTTGCTCATTAAGGAGCCCTGGGTCCTATTTTCAGCCACCTTCTTTGTCCCTTTTGATCAGAAACAAACTTGAGCAAGTAGGTGGCACATTGGATAGAGCACTCAGAATTCAAATACTACCTTAGATAACACCTGTGTGACTCTGGGCAAGTCACCTGACCTTCCTCATCTACCTCACAGAGTTATTATGAAGACCAAATAATGCATGTAAAGCACTTTGTAATCTTTAAATCACTATATAAATGTTAGCTATGGACATATTCCAGAGTTCCAAAGACGAAACAGTAGTCCATCTCTCTCCTTTTGGCAGCTTCACCAGAACGAAGTGTTTATGTAACGGAGAAAAGAAAAACTGGGGTAAGAGGGAGGGGGAGAAGAGATTGTCCTTCATATTCATAGGTATAATGGTTCCAGAGCCCCATTATTCTTAAGCCTTTTTTCTTATACCTGCAGGTGTGGTTTCTTTATCTTTAATAATTAGCATTACTTTGACTTTCCACGTACACCCAGTCTCAGCTATATTTCATAGCACTGAATTTAGACATTGTTATTGAGCCTCTGAAGCATCCTAGTGAGATCAGGGTATGATATTTTCAGACAAGGAAAAAAAAAGTCTCACGGGAAATTAAGCCTCAAGCCTCGGTTAGAACCTAACTCTGCTAATTCCTGTCAAATATCAACGAGGCAGCATGATCCCTTGGCTTCTCCCCAAACAGAACCAGTGGGTAGACTTTCTTAGGCATTCAAGAAGGGGGCTTCATTCCAAATTGTTCAGAATAGAAATTGATCACAGATCCCTCTATCATCAGTAGTTTGAACTAAAACTGCTTGTTCTGCTTTGTTCCCAGAGTCACTTATGAGGATCCACAGGCGGTGGGAGGACTGGCCTCTGCATTAGATGTTCGAAAACAGAACACTGGAGTGGTAGGTTTTTAAACCTGTTTCCCCTGTGTGGAAAGAAGATGTTTGAAAACAAAGTTCTCCAGAAGAAAAGAATTATTGAGTAAATCCAGCTAGATAAAGGGAGAGCTCATCTTGGCATTGAACAGGGTCCTAGTTATAGGGCCTTCACTGGACTGAAGGAAAGAGTTGTAGCCCTATTAATGGAGTACAGCTGTACTTCCCCCTTAGCGTTTGGCCACCAGCTTGGACTGTTCTGATACTTTGCCGTTCAGGGAGAGAAAAATACAATAATAGAGGCTAGTTAGAAATGGTGTATTTATTTGAGGAGAGAAATGCTCACAAGGAAGGGGGGGTTCTTTGTATACCATGTAGTTGGCACTGTTAGCATGATTATGAAGAAGTAGTCAGCTTGTTTGAGGTAGCCATCTTGAGACATTTAAGTTTTTTAAGTTCTTGGGACAGAAAAGGAAAAAGAGTTGAGTAAGTGGATGGTCATGACTGTTTACAGAATTGCAGGGAGTAATTCCCAGGAAATTAAATTTCTAATAGAATTTGGGAAGGTCCTTCTTTGTAAGTATCACTGCTGGCCACTCCCACCGCTCCCTGAGTGACTTCTTACAAGGGATCAGATAACATTGAGAAAAATGAAGAGAGGTGAGTGATATTTTGTAATTCTTTGTATTGCAAGTTAGAACTGGAAGTTTTTAGACTATTTCAGATAACCAGAAGAGAAAAGTTAGTCAGGGCTTTTCTCTAGGCTTTTCTGCCTGGTTTTTGTGTGTGTGTGTGTGTGTGTGTGTGTGTGTGTGTGTGTGTGTGTGTGTTGGGGGGAGGTGGGGGTGGAGGATGTGGGGGTACAGCTTGGTAGGAAACCTTCCCACAGATCCAGTCTATACTCAACCAGCCTAGTGTACTCTAGGTCCATTCATTTTAAAGGAAGGGTTAAAAAAGGGCACTGGCCTCCTTACTTATTATAGCAGATCACCATTTCTTAACCTTGAATTTCGTCTGAGTGAATTCCCAGGCATACCACACAGTAACTTTCCGTTCAATTTTACATCCTGCAGAAAAACAAAACCAGTAATGACAGCGTAGAACTCACCAGTAGGACGTGGTGAATCAGAGCAATGTTCCTCTCAATATCAGCCACTAGGGAGCATTGCAGAGCTGGTCCAACATTGGCCTGTAGGACCTGGGTCTGTTTCCTAATAACTCTGGGCTTTGCTTTCCCTGTAAGGTTAGTGAACTGCAGTAGCCCTGCTCAGGTTGGCTGACCCCAAGCATTTTCAATATCACAATCCCTTTTTTTTTTCTTTTTGATAAATGAAATATAGAAACCCAGGAATGTCCGGCTTTTTTTTAATTGAGCTAGTATGAGAAAACTAATACTCAGAGGAAAAGAACCCACCTAGCTTTTGAATCACTACCAGGAATAAATGCTTTCTTTTGTTATGGTGGTCACCTTGGCCCAAGTTGAGTTAGTATCCTTGCTAATATCAGCCATGCTAGGAACAAGTGTTTTCGGTCATTCACACTGGTAAATATGATCCTCCCTACCCAGTGTTTATCAGTTCAGAAGACTTTGAGCCTATATGAGGTGGCTGGTCAAAGTATTCCAATCCTAGTAGATTTGGTGGATTTAATGAACTTTCTCCTGCTTAGGTTAGTGGCTTGGATCACCCCACTGTTTCCAAAAGTCCTTAATGACTCTTATCGTCTTATCATATGATAGTGTTTTTAATTGTTTAATGTCTATATTGCTTGATTGGAAGAAGCCAAGGTCTGGCCTTGATGATGCCTTAATATTGAGAATTTCTTTTTGGTCACTAAATCTTTTTTCTCTTTTACAGAAGGGCTCAGGGAAACATTGTGGGTTTTCATGATTTTTTTAAATTGAATAAACAAGTGAATATGAACAGTAACTTTTCTTCCGCTGCTGATACACTATTAACTTTTTTGTCATGAGTTTTGCTGTGATTTCTTTCTTTCTGGGACATTTCTTTTCTCCGCCCAGAGGAGAGGTAAAGGTGGGAACTCTGACATGGAGCCTATAGACAAGTGGCTAATTACACAAGGAATGGTGAGATATCACCAGCAAAAGCAAAACCCTCTATTGTCCACCCCGCCAACCTCCCCCATTCCTGCCTTTGTAATAATCATCTTCTGTTTACCTTCCCCAGCCTACTGAACCTTTGTGAATCAGACAGTACAAGGTTACTTTTGAAAGCCAAATTTCTACTTTTGTTACAATCTTCTTCAACTAGACTTCCAGCCTAGGAAAACACCTGAAGTGCTTTTCTGCTGCTATTTATGCTGTCTTTAATGATTTTTAAAATAAGCTTGGGATGGGCGATGAATCCCTTTCCTCCTTTTACTGTCTTGATAGCCATATGCAGTATCTGCTTTTCCAGGATAAACACAAGTTTTACTGGTGATTTAGTTCTGGGAGGTGATACTTTTAAAGGAACTAGCTCAAAGCAGGCCAGTCAACAAAGAACATTCATGGTACACATGCATTTTGAAAGCCTGGAATCGAGATGAGGTCTCTTTCCTTTTAAAGTGCCTTTGGTCCATAGGACTAAATAGATATTGACTTATAAAACATAAATTCTTTGCTTTCTACCCATGGCTTCCATTATATTTGACTTTTGGGTAGCCATTTTACATCTAGTCATCAATACTTATTGAATTCCTGCTACATACAAAACACCATCTTAGGCAAGTTTGGGCGTGGAAATGGGGGAGCTGACAGAGATATTGAGAAACTAGGAAAGCATGGTCCCTGAATTCATGGGGCTGAAAGTCTTGGGACAGAGCAAGAAGAGGTTAAAAACAGCACCTGTGAGGACACAAGAAAGAAAGTGCTAACTCTATATGTGAAATGTCAAAGGTATATACAACAATTGGAGATAAATTGGGTGTAAATTAGCATGATTTTCTTTACCTTTGAGGGTTTTATCCCTCTTGAATATTGAAAAGATTAGCTCCTACTCCATTCAGCTCATTGGAACCTCTAAACTAGGCTTGGTGGGTGAGTAGAGGCTTTAGAGATAGTGAGAATACCCAGCAATAGTCTAAGAGTAGGCACATTTAGGAATCCTTAAGTGGCTAGTATTTTTTTCTAATTGTCCTTGAAGACCTCTAAAATATAAACCAGTATAAGCTCCCCATGCCATGTGAGAGAAATTTTTTGGGGTGGAACCAGGGAACCCCAAGTGTATTGAAACAACCTAAATACTCATTTGATCCATTCTGAGTTGGACCAGTTCTTCTACCTCTCTCTCTTTCTCTCTCTCTCTTTCTCTTTCTCTCACACACACACACACACTCCCTCTCCTCTCTCTCTCTCTCTCTCTCTCTCTCTCTCTCTCTCTCTCTCTCTCTCTCTGCATCAGTAGTGGAAGTTAGAGAGAAAGGTCAAGAATTTCCTAATCCCATGATTTCTTTGTGACTCCATACAGCTCTCCTTTGGCTAAATTGGAAGAATCCACTCCCTTTCCCCACTTTTATCCTTACTTTCTTGCCTTGTGGTCATCAATCCTGTAAAAAAGGATACTGCAGCCTTCCTATAGACAGCCCTGCTGGCTGAGTGACCTGGAGCCAACATCTGCCTCCATGGACATAGGCTGCTTCCTTGCTGTCTAAATGCAATAGAGTTCTCTAATCTCCCCACACCCTTTAAGACAAAACCAAACTAACAGTTACTTTTGACCTGGTGTCTCTTCTGCCTGACTGTAGTTTTTGTTATTGTTTTTAACAATATGTACTAAATGCTTTGCCACTATTTACAATAGAATGGAAAACCCCAGTCTTTCTAAATCTCCATAGTGCAAGTTCTTTATTTGGTAACTTTTTGTACTATTAAGTGAGAGCAGGAGGAAGAATTGTTACAACCCTAGCTATGAGTTGGTGCTGGGAGTTAGGGAGGAATTTTACTGTCTCTTTTAAAATGGCACCAGAGTTATAGAAATTACAGATTTCAATGAAATCCTTTGATCTCAGAAGTTGATAAATAACAGGTATATTCCCACTCACTAGTTCCTGTATAACTTTTCCTTTGCATTTTACTTCTCTCTCCTTCCCATTTTAGTTCTTTGTCTTTATCCAACTGAAAAAAAGAAAAAAGATTTCTTGAATATTCAGCGTTGTTGTGAAAGGCAGTTTGGAGGAGATGGATCACTGAGATACAGCTCCCTATAATTGAACCTACCATCTAGTTGGGCAGATAAGACATAAGCTTGAAAGAAAGTTAAAAAGCAATTTGAGATTTAAATAGCAGCTCAAAACCAACAATAGAAGAAATGTTACCAGGCTAGGCATGATTAATTGTGAAAGGGATGGTGCAGACAAATAAGTGCTATTAGAGTCCAAAGAAAGAGTTCTTTAGGTCAGAGTGGTCAGGAAAGCTTCACAGAGGAAGGGGGATTTTAGTCAGACCTTCAAAGATTGATCTATTTTGTTTCTTTGGTTTGTTTTATTGTCTTTGTCATTGGACCAGCCAAACACATAGATAAAAAGTAAAATCTAGGCCTTTGTACATATATCAAGAATCTGTGATTTTGTTAGTGTGAGTACTCCTTTGATTGGTACCCAATCAAAACCTCTCAGTAATATAGTAGATGGTCTTCAAGAATTGCTGTGACTTAAAAAACCTCATCATCTCACAGAGATGAGCATTTCCAAATTTGGCTACGCCCATCCTTCAGCAGCTTACATCCAGATCTGCACTGGACCTGTTCTCAAAGTCTTTCCACCTTGGTAGAACATGCTGGAATTATTGTTCCATTGACATAGACTGAGAACCCAAGATTACTTCAATGAGGCAATCAGAGTAACACTTTAGTGAAGGGGTCCTCTGGATGTGGTAGTCTAAAATAAAACGAATGCAATCCTGACTCATTTCCTAACCCTTCCTAATAATGGCAGTGTTTAACTTGAATGGAGCACAAGATCCCAGAAACCTAGAATAGAGTTAGAAAGGACATTAGAAATCATCTAATCCAACTGCTTTATTCTACAACTGAGGAAACTGAGGCTCAGAAAAGTGTTGCGAATCCACATGGACAGTGCAGACAGGCAGAATTAAGACTGGAACCCACCTCAAGGACTCTAAATATGCTGCTCTTTCATCTAGTAGATGGTAATTGTTTAAGTTTAGTTAATTGTTAAGACATCGGAGCATTCACTTTAGAAAAGAAACCCTAGGGGCAGGTAGGTGGCACAGTGGATGGAGCACAGGCATTTGAGTCAAGAGAACCTGAGTTCAAATCTGGCCTCAGACACATTACACTTACTAGCTTTGTGACTCTGGGCAAGTCACTTAACCCCAATTGCCTCACCAAAAAAAAAAACAAAAAACAAAAATAAAAGAAACTGCTGGGCCCCAGAAGGCAGAATTAGCAGCAATGAAGAGAGTCCGTTTCTGACTTAAAGTAAGGAAAAACTTAAACTCATAGCTGTCCCCTGGTAGAGTGGACTTTGTCTTCAACTCAAAACTAGATGACCGCTTATCAGAGCAGTTAAAGAGGGATTCCTGTTTTGGTACAGGTTGGATTGGAGTCGAGGAATTGTGGTGTGGTGGATAGACTGGGAGTCAGAAAGGCCTGGATCCAAACCCCATTTCTGATATTTATTATCTGTGTTACTGTGGGCAAGTTGCTTGGCCTCTCTGGGGCCCAGTTTCCTTATCTATAAAATGGGTTTAATAATATTTATAGTGCTTATCTCATAAGATATTATGAAGTTTAAATGAGATAATGTATATAAAATGCTTTACAAACCTTAAAACACTGTTTAAATGTCAATCATTATTATCATCATATTATGACCCCTGCAATCCCTTCCAATTCTGCTTGTGCAGTGTTTTTCGGGCCTGTTAGTTCCTGGAGAATAGAACTGCTTCCATTCCTCATCCTCAGTTTTCTTTGAGTTATGTTTCAACAACACTCACAAGGAGAGAAAACTTCTTTCCCTTTTTAAAACAGCTTCCTGTTCAGTTTTGTGTCTGACCACATATATGTGATTAGAAGACATACGGCATTATAGGAGATTGTTTATTACGATATGGAGGTTCAAATAGCTAATCTATATAAAACCGAACCTCTGCCATATGTCTGTTAACAAATATACTCCGTAGAAATACTTGCTCTGGGGTCTTCCTTCCATCAGAAGGGAAGAGTTCCTTAAGGGCAGGGACTGTCTAATTTTTGTCTTTGTACACCCAGCAAGTATTGTTGGCCCTTTAAAAATGTTTGTTGGGGCAGCTAAGTGGTGCAGTGGATAGAGCACCGGCCCTGAAGTCAGGAGGACCTGAGTTCAAATCCGGCCTCAGACCAGACACTTGGCATTTATTAGCTGTGTGACCCTGGGCAAGTCACTTAACTCCAATTGACTATAAATAAGTAAATAATAAATAGAAATAAAAATGTTTGTTGAATGAATGAATGACCTTTCATTCATTAACTACTTCATTCCAGCAATTTCTGAGTCATTTGTTTCCAAATTAGAAAACCAAAGCAGTGTAGAGTTGAATGATTTGCCTTTTAATTATAGAATCCTAAAATTTTAGAACTAGACCCCGTCATTTAAAAGATGGGTAATGACTTATTTAAGTTGGTGCAAATGAGGATCCAGCTCCCCTGGGGCCCAGTCATGGATTCCATTGGATTAGAGGATTCAGAACTCCGAGGAACCTTCCGAGGTCAGCTAGTCTGATGCCCTCATTTTAGAGTAAAAGTAGATATCGAGTGCTCTTTTCATTACATTGTGCTGTTTTTCTTTGACCTTATTTCAGATTTCACTTTAAAAACACCTGTAAATATATTTAATCATTTCGATTCTGCTACTTGATTTCTACTTTACTTAGTTGGTAAATCAGAAAGAGAGAAAAATCTCCCCCATGCTCTAACTTTTGGAGTTTCCAGAAGTTTACCATCCTGAGGAGATTCAGTATTAAACTCATTTATTCTTATGCCATGCTAGCTGCTATCCCAGACTCACTAAAAGAAAAAAAGATATAATTCCTTCCCTCAGGTAACTAATTGGGGTGGGGAGAAAAGTGTTGGGGGCAGCTAGGAGGGAAAATGGATAAAGTGCCAGGCTTGGAGTCAGGAAGACTCATCTGTCTGAGTTCAAATCTGGCATCAGACACTTACTAGCTGTGTGACCTCGGGCAAATCACTTAACCCTGTGTGCCTCGGTTTCCTCATCTGTAAAATGAGCTGGAAAATGAAATGGCAGCAAGCCACTCCAGTATCTTTGTCAGGAAGACCCCAAATGGGGTCATGGAATGTCAGACATGACTGAAAAATGATTGAACAACAAAAAGAGTATTGGAGAGGAATTCACAGAAAAATGAGGAGTATTTGAATGTACATCTGAGCTGTGGAAATAACATTTGAAAAAACTATATATCCTAACAAACACTTTTTTATCTTGGAGAAGACTTACTGTTGTAAGACAATAATGATGATTCTTGTTTCTATAAATCTTGATGGCTTATGAGGCATCTTTCTCTGAAACAATTCTGTGAGTTGAGGGAGTGCAAATATCTTTATTCCCACTATATAGATATAGCTATATAGAGACACACTAAAATACACAGAGTAAGTGACTTGCCCAGGGCCACAGAGCTAATAAATGATGGAACAGGGACTCAAATCTGGGTCTTTTACCTCCAGGTTCTGGGCCTTTTCCACTGTACTATCCAGCTAAGTATGAAAAAGGTATAAAAATGTGATGTAGATGTACATTAATTCCTAAGCTCTCACTGTATCTCTTTTCCCATTTGAGATGACTCTTTACTTTCAAAGCAATAATTTTTGAGTAACAGCATCTTATAAATTCCCAGAGGCTGAACGTCCTCATTTTAAAATTTAAAAACTTTAAAAATTGGTACCACTTATGTATGCACATGTATATGTGAAACAAAGGCATACATTTATCAACCATCTAGAAATTAGCATACTTTGCTTATGTAGACATTACATTCACCCTAATGGTTATTGCCCATGTTAAGGGCTCTTAGCACATCACATCAGGTGTTTGGGCCTGGAGAAGTGATTAAATTATGCGTATGCTTTTCCTGCTTTGTTCCTTGGACTAATTGTTGAGAGGTTTTTTGATCTGTTTGATTTTTGTTTGTTTTAAATTTGTTTTAAGATTTTCAATGGGAGAGACAGGTTTGACCATTCAGTCTGCTTAAGTTCTCAGGCAGTTAAGTAAACCATTAGGTTGAAAATGAAAACAATAGACAAAATTTACAAATTTGATCTTTAATGGTTGACAGATTTTTAACCTTAGCAAAAAGTGGCTTTTGTTAGAATAGGCTTTTAGAAATAGAAGAGGGGCAGCTAGGGGGTGCAGTGGATAGAGCTCTGGCCTTGGAGTCAGAAGGACCTGAGTTCAAATCTAGCCTTAGACACTTGACACTTACTAGCTGTGTGACCCTGGGCAAGTCACTTAACCCCGATTACTCCCCCCCACACACACACAAAAGAGACCCAGAAGGTTGTCTAGCCCTAGCCCTAACCTTTTCATTTTATAGATGAAGAAACTGAGGTTTGGAGGTGAAATGGCCTCTCTGAGGCCACACACAGCTAATAAGAAACAAAACAGAAAGGGAGATCTTGTTAACTTCTTACGGGTCCAAAGATCCTACTTAATTCTCCTCAGAACCCTCATTTGGATGCTATATATCAGCTTTCAGGGAAATCTGATTATCTTATTGTTCATTTCTAGTTACTCAGGGGTGAGAGAATCATAGATTTACAGATTTTTTTTTTTAAGAACTAATAGACTTCTCAAAGGGGTGTCCTAACCTTAAAAGTCCTAACCCCCATTGTCTCAAATCATCTTTTAACAGGAGGTTTTGGCCAGTGGACATATGGTTGTTAAATTAGAGTTGATAAAATGAGTTTTTCCTTTTTTTTTTAAAGGTCCAAATGTTAGCCTATAATAAACATTGGGACAACAACTCATTTTACTGTTTCAATTTTATCATTTACCAAAACTTTGATATTGAGATGGAAATTAGTCAAAATTGGAATTTTCCTGGAAATAGTGGATTTAAAATAGAACCCCAGGCAATTACCATCCAGGTACCAAGGATGCAGCTTGGTATAATAAGGTAGATTATCTTTGATACCAGAACATAACAGGGTGAATTAAAGGCAATTGACTAATTCCTTCAGGCTTTTAGCCAGCACTTTATTAATGTGGCTTCTTAGCTTTTGACAGCAACTTAAATATTTTTAACTGAAGACATTCTTCAAACTGACCACCCTGAGAGATATTGAGCATGATAGGCCTAGGTATTGAAACATACCACACCCTAATGAGATCGATCTCAATTTTCTTAGTTATGGCAGGCTCCCCAATTCTGGCCAATTAGTTCTAAGTTACCCATCATGTAATGTCTTTCCTTAACTTCAGAGCAACAGATTTAAATTAAGAACTAGAGTAGGAGCTCAAAAGACATTATAGTATTAAGAACTGCCCAGCTTTTTGGCCCTTCTAAATGAGTACAAAGAAAAGTCAACCTGAAGCTCAATGAGTTTTTTTCTCCTCCTGGACACCTCATCTGCCTTCCATGCTTCAACTTGCAGGGAAATGAGTCCCACTTTCTAAGAGGTATTCCAGAGCCCAGGGCAGGGCCACTATTTCCTGTCCTCAGAGCCCCTTCATCTCTTCATCCCCGTGTTGCAACCCCGATCCATCCCATACATCCCTCCTCATGCCCTTCCCATCCACAAAAAGTTTCTGAATGCCCTTGGCTGGGCAAATGTAGGGCCAGAAGCAATCTTCAAGTAATTAAAGCTTTTCATTTCCAGCAGCTTGGCCACCCAATGTCATGTTTGCCTGCAGTACCACTGTTCTCTACTACCAGTAACAACTGTTGCCACACTGGACCTGATAGGAGTCTCAAGCCATCTCAGAGATAGGAACTTCCATCAGTGGGTTCCAGACTCTAATATTGATGGTGGCTAGTGACAGCCAATGCAGTTGGCATATATTTACACCTTGGTTGGTTGGTTAGTTGGTTGAAATCCTGAATTTAGCAAAATTCCAAGATTAGTGCCTGAGATTGTGGCTTTCCACCATTGAGTTTAGGTGATTCTTTTCAATGACTAAAATAAGGAGTCAAAAAGTTATCCATTTTAAGAACATGTACTGCCATCTTTTCCCTTCCCCCTTAGTGTCCCATTTGGTTTGCTCCACTTTTTATGATTTTTCTCCCTCCAGTCCCTGTTTGGTTTACCCTGCCTATTTATGATTTACCTCACATGTTGCTCTTATATATTTGGTTGCCTTTTCAGCACATTCTTATGTTTAAATTTGTGTGCCATGTTGGTCATGTTTTGCTCAGTGTATTTTGAGTTTGGTTGGGGAGGTGGGTGGCTTTTGATTATTTAATTTTGTACCCGGTATTTTGTTTTCTTTTTGCCCTGGCTGTTTGTGGGTTTTGCCTGGCTCGGTGGCCCTCTTTGCTGCATTCCATAGATCCCTGTTGCGCAGTCCTCTGTCATGGATGACATTGAGGTGTGGCTCAGTACGGACCTGGTGAGATTTTGACTTTTATATTTTTTTATCCTAACCTCCTTTCTCTGAGAATAGAAATTATGCATTTTATGTACTAATGAAACCAGTAAAAAGTTTGCCTTCCATAGTAGGTAGTCCACATGTTAGCAGGGGGCTTACACCTGAAGTTCTAATCAGTCTGTAGCGTATTCCAAGTCTCATATATGATTTAAAACTCATTTTCCCCTCTTCCTCCTCCTGTTTATTTGTCACCTTCAGGGTTTTTTTTAAGCCTCCATCAGATTTTTTCCCCCATGTGTTTCTTTGATTTGTAATAAAAGTTTCCTTCGTGAGCAGTGTTCCTATCATGATAAAAGCTATAGTTATTAAGAATGTAGCAAAAGAAAATCACCCTCTCTACTATTAGAAATTACATCCTAGGTGAGATGATGAAAAAGACCTGATGGTGTTCTTGTTTCATGGAGAATTATTCCAATATCTGGACTGTCCTCAAACAAACAGCTCTGCTGTAGCACTATCTGCATCGGCTGTCCATGGGCCAGATGTCAGAAGGCACAACTATTTAGCCACCTTGAACTTCCTTCCACTAGTGTCAGATGAATCTATGACAGAACCAGGACCAGGACCAAGACCTCTCCTACTCATCTCAAGCTCTGCCGCCTGTGCCGTCTTCAGAGAGAATGAGACTTTCCAAAGCAATTGGTTGTCAAGTAGAGCATATTTAAAATCTAATACAGTCCGCCATTTCTTTTCATGAAAGTAAAAAATGTAGCTTCCTTACTAATCTGGGGTGCTTTTTGCTTCCCCTTTACCTTCCCCAAAACCCTTCACATTATAGTTTTCTATGGCAAGGAGGATATATGGTATGAGAATAAGGTCCATGGGAGTTTATTAATTGCCCCTAAGCTGGTGATTTCTACCCTGGTTTTATAACACTCCAGGGTGGGTCCAATTATATCTGTGAGTGTAATGAAATTCTCAAAATGAAGTAATTCTAATTGACTTTAATTAAAACTTCTAATTAAAAATATAGTAAGTACTAGAAAGGATAGTAGCATGGTATGGTCCAGTTAACAGTACTATTTCAGCAATTTCAAAAAGGCTGGGAAACACAGCCTTCAGGAGGGATATATTTCTTCCTCTCCGGTAGCTCTTCTTTTCTTTAGAAGCAAAGACACCTGAAGAAGGAATGGGAATTAAGTACAGTTAGAATATTCAGTGTCCATCATTGGTAGCATATGTTTATTGGTTCTACCGCCCTATGACCTGAGAGAAACATCACAGAACCCTAATGGGGAGGTCATGTGAATCATCCCCTGACTTCAGGCAGGGTGGTGCTTGTTTTATAACAAAAAAAAGAGCTACCTATCTTTTCCCCCTTCTACCCATCTCTTGAGAATGTAAAGGCCCTAAAACTGTTCTGGTTGTAAATATACCAGCCATGCCGTGCTTCCATGGACCAAGGAGGTCAGTGGAAAAGATAAAGTGGAAAATGAAGGGCCAGGTCACAGCAGGGGACACTAATGCTACCTTGTCTTTGTTCCCATCACAGAAAGGTGATGAGCCGGAGGAAGGAGTCACAAGTGAAGGTAAGCGTGCAGCACACAAAGTGACCTTTGCAGCCAAAGATTCTTTTTATCAACATACTTAATGAGCATTGACTCAGGTCCATTGGAGGCATTATGGGGACTATAAGAAAAGAATAAGACATGGTTCCTGTCCTCAAGGAGTTCACAGTCTAACTGGGGAGACATGTGTGAAAGGTCAGATACGAGGACGAGACAGTATGTGAGCCTTCCAGTTCCTCCTCTCACCACCAGCCTAGTCTTGCCTAGAACCAACCAGAGTCAGAGCCACTGTGGCACTGGAAGTGTTCTCTTCAAAGCCAGGTAGGAGGGAGGCAGCTTGGTGGCACAGTGGATAGAGCACTGGCCCTGGATTCAGGAGGATCTCAGTTCTGGCCTCAGACACATAACACTTAGCTGTGTGACCCTGGGCAAGTCACTTAACCCCCATTGCCCCCCCCCCAAAAAAACCAAAAACAAAGCCAGGTAGGAGAAGGGCACTGAAGTGTTGTGACTGATTTGTACCAGCTCTCTAGGAAAAACGTTCAGGGGAAGCCTTGCAGGCCGAGTACTTACAGAAATAATAGGAATAGGCAACATTACTTTTAATTAAAACTGTTTGGAAATTGAACACTTTATTCACTATGCTGATTTTGATGTCCTTCCACTTCTTCTTCCTCTTATTCCTTCCCTGACATCTTTTTGGGGAAGTTAGATTGCTCTCTTTAGTTAAAGTTAAATTAGGTGCTTAAAAGTGTTGTCTTCTCTTCCCCCTCCCACTGTCAAGAAAAAACCTACAATGGAAGATTGAAAAAACTCCCAATTAACTGTTTTTCTGAAAAAGAAACTAAATTTTCCATTGAGACCAGCTTCACTTTGCCTAGAGGTGAAAGGAAGTTCTGGTGACATGAGATTTTCACCCTTGTCCACTCTTCCCAAACCAAGTGGAATGAGATCTTTGATAGCAGATCTTTGAAAACTGTATGTGAAGTCATAGTCAACACTTGGAGCTCCATTGCCAGCCCTGGGAAAGCATGAGAATATTGGAGAGTAAAGGAGCCTTGGAAACCCTCTAGTAGTCCAACCTTTTGTTCGCTGAAGTCCAGAAGGGGAAGTGATTTGCCCAATGTCAGACAGCTGGTGATATACGACCTGGGACTGACTGAAGCCCAGGGCTCCTGACTTAGGTCTGGTGCAGCAGCTACTGGACCACATCAAGTATCACCTTTTAGGAGGCTGGGAGACATAAAGCTGCATTGATTCTTTAGTATTTAATCTTCTTTTAACCTTACCTAGTGGGAAGTCTGTAAATTGAGCTTTTTAAAAGCAAAAAAAAAATTCCCAAAAGCTTAACAACTCTTCTCCCCTTTGCATTTAATATCATAGTGGCCCAGTAACTGAACCAAAGGCTCCAGTTAACAGTTGCATGTTTGAGGCATAGCAGGGCATGTTTTATGAGCCCTGTCCATTTTGTGGCTTTAGGTACACCACACCTAGAGAAAGTATTAAGGAACAAGTCCCATCAAGTTGTATTGTCTTTGTATTCTAACTGTATGTAGTGCAGTGTATAAATTCTACCCTGGCTATGCCATTCCTGCCCCCCCCCCCAATCAAACAACACACCAAAAAGGAATATTTTTTTGATAGCTGATTTGCTTGGAAGTGGTTTTCTGATTCTTGTTTTCCTGGTCCCAGCTTTTTCTCAACTCTCTGAACAACCCCAAGGAATCTTTCATTTTTGTGTATTTTTGTAAAGTGGTACACACAAGAGAGACTCCAGCAAAAGAGTTCAACATTAACTGAGGTCTGTCTGTCCCTCCGCCCTTGCCCCCCTTAACCATTATACCCTCAAACCCAGTGAAGCTCTTCCGAGCTTGATAGGTAACAGAAGAAGCTGTGCACTGAGAGGCGGGAGATCCGGGTTCTCGTCTGACCTTCACCACTACTTCACTGTGTAACCCCTCTCTGCAACTCCATTTCCTTCTCTCTGTCACTAACACTGGGCTTCAGTGCCCCCAACGCTTTAGTACATTCTCTGTATTTTCTCTCTTTTCCCCCTTCAGGCATAACTTCTCATCTTATAACCTGTCCTCTCCTCTCTCTTATCACAACCTTCTCTCAGAAGGGGCCTGGTATTCAGACATTTATACTTTAGTGTTATTGTCATTGTGTCCCCTCTCCCAGTAGATGCAGCCAAGTAATCTCCAATAGTTTCTTAATTTGTTCAGGGGACCTCATTCAATGCTTTATGGTCATTTGTAGTTCACTTCATTCTTCCAAAATGTCCCTGGGTCTTAGGCCAGATCCTTTCTGGCTTATACCACCCATCAAAAGCGGAGCAGTCAACCAACTCATTCATTAAGCAACTACTTTGTTCCTAGCACACTATTAGCTTTATGGGGGGAATACAAAAAATACATATTTTGCATATGTGTATATTTAAAAATAAATTTCTAATTCATATGTTTAAAATTTTTACAACTCCTTTGCACAAGGAGTCTACTGATGTATTAAGAACATAAAATTAATACATGTGAAATAATTGCTGTACAAGTTATTGTATAATGAAATTCTAAATTGTACAATACTGAGAGGGAATATGTATATATGAAGTATACATATGTGGGTGTATTCATATACACACTGAGAGAAGTGCTAATTGTGTGGTAAGCTAAGTTCTGAAGGGTTTCAGAAAAAGATTAGTGTGAGCTACTCAGGAAAGAAGGCTTCATAAAATAGGTGTGCTGAAGAATGAAGGATGAGTGGGGATAGGAATAAGTGTAGAGAAGAGATAAGAACCTTGGATGGATGAGTTTCAGGGATAGTGTGGTCAGAACTCTAAGAAGGGTTGTGTGTATGTGGTGGGGCAGGAGGGTGGACATGGATTGGAATATAGGCGCCCATGCTGTAGGAGTCATGGGAAATAAATTTGGAGAGTTAAGATCAAGCCAGTATGAAAAACTGAAAATGAATTTTCTAAAAAAAAATTTTCTTTCTCCGGTTCTTCAGTCACAAATCAGTTCACAAGATTGTAGACTCCAACTGAAAAGAATGATAGAGGTCAATGAGTCCCCTTTTTGGATGAGGAAACTAAGATAGAGACAGGTGAATTGATTTGCCTGAGCTCACTCAATTATTAAGCATCTGAAGCAGGATTTGGACTCAGTCTTGACTCCCAAATCCAGTATTCTATGTCCTGTGCCGTACCACCTCTGTGATGGTTTTGTGGCCTTCAGAAATAGACAATGCTGTGGAAACAAGTTGAAGTTAAGTTTCTTGTGGAAGAAGTTGATGTTTATTCATTTATCCTGGGCTTCCCTGGTAATCCTAGCTCTCAAAATGGCTTTGTGTTGCAGAGTTTGACAAATTTCTTGAAGAAAGAGCCAAAGCTGCTGAAATGGTCCCCAATCTACCATCTCCCCCTGTGGAGGCACCAACACTACCCATAAATACATCTGGAAGAAAAAAGCCAGAGCGCTCCGAAGACGCCCTCTTCGCCCTGTGATGCATTTTCTTGGTCTCCTTCCTTGTGCTGTGCAGAAGAACACTACTGTCTGGTCACACCATACTCTCCTCCATTGTGATGAACACTGACCCTCTCATCACCCCTTCTGTATCTATCACCCTTATCCACTCCCCAGTCAGTCATACCACTCTTGCTCACTAAAAAGCAAACTTCACCTGTGTCTCCTTTGAAGCCCTATTTTATTTCCTCTAAGTCTCCCACCCTTCAATACCAGCTTTAACCACCTTTTCCTTTCTGGGCTGTGTGAAATTGGCTGCTGCTATTGAAACCCACGTCTCCCTCCCCCTGCTCCTACCTGCCTTTCCCACCCGGTCCCTCCCCCTGAAAAATGTAAATGCATGAGCTCACTTTTCTTGTATTGGAAACCAGGTATGGCAGGACAAGCTGCCCAGCCTTGAGATGATTTATCATGGTGGTTTCCTGTGTCCCTTGCTTTGTAACCAAATATTTAGCAGGAGACAATGGAGGATCCTTGGGCCCAGGATGGATTCAAGTAGAGGAGCATCTCATTCTTGATGTTCCCAATTATAGGTCCAAGTCATATCACTCCTGCTCTAGAATTCTGCCTTCCACCTCTTTTACTTCTCTGTCCCCTTCCGGAATGGAGAGTCTAGCTGGGGAGTGCAGAAGGTATGTCAAGTCTCATGAGGTTTTCCATTCTTTGGTCTCTTCCTTTCACTATGAGTTTTCCCACGTTGGCTTCAGGAGACTAGATGGTGGTCTGATGACTTCCTTCCTTTGGCTGCTCATCAACATGCATTAACTTGATTCAGTTAAAAAAACAAACCTTGGGGTAATTGGGGTTTCTAGCACTTTAAAAAGTTTTGCATTATTTCCCAATGTTCCAGCAAACCTTTCCTGTCAATCTGTTGTGTTGTAGGTCCTTTTGGGCTTTTCTTTCCAGGTATTCACATAGAAGGCCCTTTGCTGTAAGCCCAATTAGTGGATTCAGCTCTACCCACTTAGCTAGACAGAGCTTGAAATCTTTGGCAAAGGGTGGCATTGCCATATTGAAGAAATTAGGCATTGCAGAGGGTACACCCTCTGATGGAATGCAGTTTCTATGTGGCCTCCAGTAAATCTAGTTAATGAAAGGGAAGTTAAAGGAAAGGAAGGAGACCAAGAGTTGAACACATCAATGAAAATTGGTATTAAATCATCCAGACATTGGTCACACAGCAGTTTGACTCTCTCATGTAGGATTAACACTAATGTTAAATGACCTCACAGGAAGGAGAAGTTGAGGACGTCACTCTTTGGTCCTTCCACCTCCTTGGCTCTCATGCTTTAAAAGGATTTTGCACTAGGAACAGTTGCTCCCTGACCACTGGAGAAAGTATTTGATGTTTGTTATTGTATTGCATGTGTGACTGGAATAGTTACACGGTGGGCTTTGTACCTCTGCTGCCTACAAGCCTCCCCATCCGAAGGAATGGCTCTCTAAGCCCTACTCTACTGGCTTGTTTGGGCTCTGGACAGCTTCACTTCTGTGCTGCTGTACTACTGTAACACTAAAGCATCTCTGCACTACTTTGGGCCCTGCCCTAACACTCCATTCATGAGGTTGGGTCTCCTCCATTGGACAAACTTGAAGTCAACCTTCCACACCCCAGCCCCGTCATGAGAGGGAGTGCTCTCAGTGCCCGTGGTCCACTTCCTTCCACACTTTGACTTCCTGCAGAAGGCTCTGGGTGTGCAGGATAATCTGCAAAGCTGACTAGTGGGCTGCCTGTGGGAGGGTGTCCAGCTGTCCAAGGACGGGGCAGTCGCTTTGCCAGGGCTTGCATCTATCAGGGCTTATTTGAAACTGGATGTTTGAGGGGTCCTCATTTAGGCCCTACCTTCTTCCCCTGTCTGCCTGTCCAGAGCTTCCAGATAGATGTTAACCTTACTACTGCACAGTAACTGGAAGGGAAAATGCTGCTGTAGCCAAGAGAGATGTACTTTGACTTCTTTCTTCCAGGCATTGCCTACTTTGGCTCTCAATAGCTTACCCCTTGCCAGTTCTTGGAGAACTGACTTTCACCAGCTGGTATGCAGCTACTTGACATGAGTTAGTCTGAGTTTGTTTCATTTAGACCTGTTGAGTCAGATGCTGCTCCCTGTCATGAAGATTCCTGAAGTCTGCAGAGTTCCTCATGAATATCTGGGGGCAGATGTTCATCTTGGCCCAGAGTGCAACCTGATGTTTACAGGCTAAATTCACCTTCCATTGTTGTGCATGTCATGGCCAGCCTAGGCTTCTCTGTGGCCCGGGGCAATGGCATGTACAACGTCCAAGGAGTTTCAACTAGGGAACATGGGCTTAGAGCCGTAACTGTTGGCTGGCAGAGAGCAGAGCTGATTAATTTTCTTCCTTCAGGAAAGAAAGGATGTATTGGAATCAGGGACTGGATTTTGCAGAGACATGATCTGGCAGCTCAGGTTCTGGGTGAGGCTAAATATCATTCTTGTGACTGAGCCAGAAGCCAGGTTTAGCCCTGGCTGGTTCTCATGGTGAAAAACCAGAGACACCAGTTGGACCACAGATATTGTGACCTGAATAAGTATTGTCCCTTCAGGCTTTTGGGAGTCAATGAGTGTGCCTCATCATTGAGCCTAGGAATCCAACAATTTGGGCTTGCTTCAGAACTAGTTCAACTTCAGTTAAAGAAAACCAGACCAACTATGATGACACCCAAACATCTTTTTTGTGAAGCTTATGTAGACAGCGCTAAGCTGTTATCTTTTCCTTGGGCTATTCTTTTTTGTTCCTCCTCCTAAGATCCTCTCTATTATCTGTCACTCCTGTTTTCATGGCTTCCTTCTTATTTTAGACCTTCCTGCCTTCTCATGTTTCCCTCTATCTATTCTCACTTTCTCCCACATTCTTGCCTTTTTTCCTCTTTCTCTCATTTTCCCTTTCATTTGGCTTTTCCAACCAGTGTCCTTCAGTGTCCTCACATCCAGTGTCCTCATGTCATTTAAAGGGGGCGGGGCGCAGGGGCGTGCTGCAGTGGGGAAGAATGCTAAAGACAGATCAGGTTTATGCCAAAGGAGCTCAGTCACTGTTTCCTTGCTTCTCATCCTCTTCTCTCACATTGACTTAAGCTCTGAAATTGAGCTACAATAGCTACCCTCTTACAGGGACCAGAATTGGCTTATCTTTGCCAAACTTGCAAACATCACTGGGCGAGATGCCTTAATACCTTTTCTTTCCAATCATATTATTCCTCTACTTTCCCCCTGTGTGACAGGACTGTAATTTTCCCAGCCTGTAAGTTCTTATAGTTCCTTTCAAGGAATCCATCCTGGCAGGCAGGTAACGATATCTTTTTGAAATCTAGCTTCTGGCATGAAGTAATTTTCCTTGTGCCTGAGGGAAGGCATCTCTGGCACAACTGTAACTGTGTGGACCCATCCAAGACAAAGTTAAGCTTTTCCCCAAACTGGAGCATGAATGGTCCTCTCCTTGTTTGAAATCTCTTAAGTTGCAGACTTGAGCCACCAGCATCTTCAGGCCATCCCATGTCTTTCTGTAGGTGTCTTAAGGAAGTTAGTTAGACCCTGAGGAAACCATGCAACTCCAAGTGCCTGAGTCCACTTGTCAGAAGCATCTGTTAGTGCTGACCTGTATGGTACCACCATAGCCACACTGCAGTGTTTGGAAAGGATGATGCTCATGGGGAGAAGGGGTACTAGTCACATAACATTCTCACCTTCTCTAGCCATTAACTGGCCATGGAGCCATGCTCCATTCCAGTCTTTTTCCTTCTCACACTTTATGAAAGAGAGTCCTGACATATTATAGATTCATTTTTTTTTGTCTATGTTTGGAGTAGGAGAGAGTGATCTGGCTCCTTCTGTCTCTCACAGAGAGAGAAGTTGCTCCCAGCAGCCTACACTACAAATACATATATATATATATATATATATACACATATATTTGCTTCAGAACCATTATCTGTACTCATTACCTCAAACTCTTATGTTTACCTGTTTCAGCAAGATAGAAGTAGCAGCTTGGAGATGCTTCAGTTGATGATGGATGGTGCAGAAGCGTTTCATGGTCATTGATCTCAGTGAAAAGGAGTAAGGCCCTACTGAGGAAAGGTGGCCATATACCCAAAAAAAGAATTCAGCAACAGAGCCGTTCATAGCCGTGGGTTCAGGTCAGCCCAATGAGCAGTTCAGCAGAAAACTATCAGTCACACCTTCCCAAAAAAATTCCCCTTTCCAGTTCTGCAGTGCAGGGGTCCAGTTGCATCTTTGGTGGCTCTGCAGTCAGAAGTGGCCCCAGTTTAGCATTTGCCTGTGATTTTTATGTATGCTAATCATACTAAGAGAGTGTGTCCTGTATCAGGATCTCATTTTGGCTCTGGCTCATGACGTATCAGCCAGGAGTTACTCCAGGGAAACTAAGAAACTCTTTTTCTTCAGTGTCAAGTCAGAAGCCATAGAAGTACCACCACCTGTCTCTTGGTGATGGGCTCTTGCCTTGGCTATGACAAGTCCCCCCTCTCAGAGCACAGGCATCGTGGCTCACAGAAAGCAAGCAGTCCTGAGGATGGAGCTGAATTGCAAAGGAGGGGGAAGAATCACTAAAGTAGGAAGTATCTCTGAAAATGTTAGAAATCACAGATATAGTATGTACTTAATTACACTAAATTATTGTTGGAATTCCTTGTAAGTACTAATTATACCTGATTATAGGTTAAAATATTTATTTTGTCAAAATATTTTCTTTGGGCTGTGTTTAACCTTTTTCCTGCTTATTGTGTACTGAGATGTGAAAATTAATCATTTGCCTAACTTTCAGGAGAATGCTGGTAGAGAAGGGCATATCATAAGATTTTGCATAAAACATCTGTGCATCTTTGGCCAGCACTCAAGAGCAGTGCCCTGTATGGGTATATGAGGACATTTAACTAACCATCTGGCTCAAGGAGAAGGAAGTGAAAGAGAGTAAGAGTGGTGCTTTTGAGAAGAGGCACAAAATATTTCTCCCAGTGAAGGAAATATGTCATTATCCTGGGCCGGGGGACATCCTTGTTCCACCTCTCAGCGTCCTTCCTCTGAGCCCATTCCCCAGACCTGCCAAGTCCCACTGCCACTTGTTAGGCAAGGTAAAGGGTGTTTCTGAAAGCCCACAGTTAAAACCCAGGTATCCCAGTGGTTGATTGTTTTCCTCCCACTGGACAAGCTTGAGGTATTTTCCCCATTATGGAAAACCCCACCTCAGTCTCAGTGCCACCCTCACTATTATTTAGAGCCTTCTTGAGCAAAGGTGATCATTTGCCAAAATACTAGAAAACCAAACATTCTTTTCCTTTCCCCCTTCCCAATTCTGTACATAGGGTTAAGTACCCAAGTCGTGGGCCTGAGGAAGGTGGGAATGGAGGCTCTTGGGCAGGCTCTGTTATTTTGTTCCTTCTAGGGAGAGGGAAAACTGGTTCAGCTTAAGCATTCTATGATAAGCACCCTAAATAAAGCATAGGACATTATTTTTCCTGGAAACACTGATTCCGCAGACAAGTGCTTTTTCTCCTCCCCCTCTCCCCTCCCCCAAGAGCATTCATGTAACCCTTTGACTGCTGAAGAAAATCCTTGGGCCAATAGCAGGTGATTCAGAAAGGACCATATCAAGCCCAGGGCCTCCCTCTTAGAACCTGTTCTTGGGACACCCAGCTCCTCTGACACTCTGATTAGTACCATGTCTACTTTTATTCATGCTAACTCCCTCTCCTGTTTGGGTGGTATTGACCCAGATGACCCTCTTCCCGCCATCACACTCCTGCCATGTTTAGGGGGATGTGTTTTCTCCTCCCCATTTACACAAAGCAATAGCAAATATTTTCCTCTTTACATGTGTTCGCCATAAAACTTCATTCTGATATCACCTGGTTCATTGCAACATCATTCCTCTCTCCACTCCCCTCCCCCCCCCAAAAAATCTCTAACTCTGTATTTTCTGATTACAGCCTGGGCCTCATGAGTTCCTCCTCCTTCTCCTTCCCCTTCCCCCTCCCTTCCCCCCCCTCCTTGGCCCTTCAGTCTCGTGAGCAACAACTCTCCTTCCTGTCAAAGTACACTGAGCTGTTGTTAACAACACTACTTCTCATGTAACCCCATATAATAGCAGTTTTTCTCTGTATATTAAAACTGTAGGCTTTCCAGATAAATATTGGAGGGAGGGGTCAGAATATTTATTTCCTGAAGCTAGTGGGTAATTTGGGAGGGTTTAAGGGATGGGGGTTTGAGATGGAAAATGTATCTGTTCAAAAGAAGAGTGGGTCCTGTTCACTGTCAAATTGTACAACACAGGCAGTTTTCATGTTGTTGCTGTGTGTTCCCATAAACAGACGATGTTGGGTGTAATTGTGTATGGCTAATGGTGATACCATTGTATTAAAATGCTACCATTTGATCTTATTCCAGCTACCATCTCCTGAGTTTGGGTTTTTGCATGTGAAATATTCCAATAAAAACAACAACAAAACTTCGTAGTGTATGGAGCAGCATGCGGCTGTGTGTGGGAGAACCTCACCAACATCCCCTATTCCCCAGCCCTCACCCTCTCTTTTCTTTTTTAAAAGTGGCCCTCATTACAGGTTTCAGGATCCCAATAAACAAATCATGATCTTCCCAGTTTCCCCTGGGCCTACTGTCTGCATCCTTTCATCTCTCTCATTCCCTAGCACAGAGCCTTACACATGGTAGATGTTTGGCCAATCTTTGTTAACTAAATTAACTCTGGAGTGAAATATCCTCTGGAGTGAAGCATCGTGTGCTCCGTCACCAGGAGCCTGGGCTCATGTGAAATCCTCATGGTAGTGTCACATTTGAACTGGCTGCTTGTTAAGCCATCAAGTTTTTTTACAGCTCCCTAGAGGTAAGAGGCAAATCATTTCACTTCTCTGCTGAAATATGGGAGTTGAACAAGAGTTGAAGAAAGGTTTCCAAGGTGCTTTTTCAGCTCTAAAATCTAAATGCTGTTGAAGAGTCTAAGAGCTATGATTTGGGTAAACTTCTGTAAATCCTCTTGATTGGTTCCTTAACTTTTCAAGTCACGACAGCTCCTAAAGACTTCTCCCAAGAGCTTGGGCTTTGAAAGGAAACTTTTCAGGTCCCTAACTGAGCATTTAATCTGTGCTTCAAAGCACCTCCATAACTAATCCCCTAAACAACCAACACTCCATTGCATCCAAGAAAAACATTACAGATTTGTGCCTAGTCTGCTGAGGCTAATATTCAGAATCCATCCATGTAATTGAGCCACTCTCAAAAAAGGGAGCTAATGGGGCAGCTAGGTGGCACAGTGGATAGAACTCTAGCCTTGGAGACAGGAGGACCTGAGTTCAAATCTGGCCTGAGACACATAACACTGGCTGTGTGACTCTGGGTAAGTCACTTAACCCCAGTTGCCTCACTTAAAAAAAAAATGGAGCTATTTGGAATTTGCAAGATGAGGGAGTTGAACCCCTGAGGAAAGAGCAATAGGAGTTATGTGAGGCCTTCTATTTTCCAAAAGATGAGCGGCGTGAAACCCTTTGAACAGACTTTGTGGGTTTTGATTCGCTTGACCCCAAGTAGAGTTTTAGACTAGAACCTCTAAAGCCTTCAATTCAACTCAACATTTATTAACCAACTACTGTGCACAGCACAGTATTAACATGATAACTGTTAAAGTAAGAAAAGACTTAGAATTCATACAATTCAACCCTCTCATTATTTTACAGATGAGGATATTGAGGCCTGAGGTTCAGTGATGTATTCAAGATCCCGTATCTAGTTATCAGGAGAGCTAGTACTAAAACCTAAGTTGTATGAGAGTCAGTCTAGGGCTGTAAAGGGAAGAGTCAAAGAATGTAAGGTTACAAAGACAACTCATGTCCCATAGCCTGCAGGGGACAATGCTAAGTGAGAGAGAACCTGCGTCCTGATGCCCAGCCCTTGCCTGACCTGGCCTCCAGACAGCAACAGGACAAGGTACTGTCTCTGTGTGTCAGCCTCACTTGCTGTTTATACTGCCTCCTCTGGTATGCAGGAACGCTGTCCTGTACAAAATTTCCTCCCTACTTGGGTCCTGTCTTCCTTGACGGTTGACAAAGAGGAAACATGAAGATAGCTCCATAGCAGAAGGTTTAGCTTTTGCCATCTAAATAACCCATGAGAAAACAATGAGGCTTCAGGATATAGTGCTGCCAGGCTGCCTTCTAATATCTCAGCTGTTGGGTCACATGACCCCCAAGAAGCTCCCTAGAGATTCCATCCTATTTCTTTACAAACCCAGGATCCTGGATCTATGTAAGGGTCCAGGCTCAGCTGTGGCAGTGGAGAGTGAAAGAGGATGATGTTTAGGAGTCAACATGACCCTTTCATAATTTTATCTCCAGTGGAGATTAGGCAGGCCATTGGCCCCTATAAGTTCAGTAGAAAGGACAAGCCTTAAGCTAAGAGTCATAGACAGATAGGATGGCCTTGAAAGCTATATGTTGAATTTATTACATATTTCTTTTATACATTTAAAGGAAAGGGAAGATGTGCACAATAGATACAGATATCTTGAGTTTCATGTGTAATTCTCTTATGCAATGGATATGGAAATGCCCCTTTTATTTGGTTTTTTTAGTTCAGAATAAAGAAAGGTTTAAAATTTTTTTTTCAAGCTTTAGCTTAGGCCAATCAACCAGCTAAATTGGTCTTGGGTGCTCAGTACAGTGGGGAGATAGAGAAATATAAAACAGGCTCCAGTCATCAAGGAACTCAGTGTAATCAGGCAAGAGGACCAACATTAAGAGAATTACTGAGTGCTATTCTATGTGATGCTGAGTATGACAGCAGCTTAGAAGAGGAGAAGACCATCGTGGGCTGGAATGGTCAGAGAAAAACTTAATTCAAAAATCGCTAGCACAGTACAGTGGAAAGGGCTAAGATTGGGAGTCAGAGAAGCTGGATATGAATCTCAACTGGGTCAGCTCAATTGCCTGTGTGACATTGAATTGAGAGAGGTGAACAGGCAGATCCACCTCAAGTAGCGTTGGCCCTAGATGGGGAACGTGCAGCCTCGAGGCACGTGTGGCCTTTTAGGTCCTCAAGTGCGGCCCTCTGACTGAATCCAAACTTCATAGAACAAATCCTTTTATTAAGGGGCCCTCAAGTACAACCCTCTGACTGAATCCAAACTTCACAGAACAAATTCCCTTAATAAAAAGATTTGTTCTATAAAACTTGGACTCAGTTAAAAGGCCACACCCAAAGACCTAAAGGGTCACATGTGGCCTTGAGGCCACAGATTCCCCACCCCTGGTTAAGGTCTCTCCCAATTCTAAACCTAAATGTGATTAGATAGGATCCCTGAAAGATGGATCCCAGGGGAACCTGATTCTTAACCTTCTGGGACTTGACTATACCATGGAGAGTATATACTCTTCAAAGAAAGTAGTTATAGTTGCCAAGTATATAGGTCCTGAAGACTTGTGGGAAGTAGGAAAATATGGTCATGTTAATTTCAATTCTCTGAATTTTGTTTAAGGCCCGTATTTCTGATGAGCTGACATGAAGCAGAGTCAGAGTGGGAGTAAGATAACAATGTTAGAGACATCAGAGATTATCAGGGCGGTGGTGCCCAACCATTTCCAGTACAAAGGACCCCTTTTGAACATCAAAAAATTTCATGCAGTAAACCACATGGTAGCAATGGTACTTTTAGTAACTGTTGGTTGAGAAAAGACATGAGGACCAAAAACTACTATGAATTCAGTGACGCGCTTAATTTACATTTTATTAATCACAATAGCATCCACATATGTGTGTGTGAGACAGCCTATAGAAGGTATGTTTGCTTATTTATTGAGTCACGTTGCATATTTTGTTGGAGCTAAATAAAAATCAAAATGATAGTATTTGGTGTGCATGTGGATTCAAAGTCCTTTTGCAATAATTCAAAAGCCTTGGCCCACAGTCTGAGAACCACAAATCTAGGTCAAATCCCTCTTCAATTGGGGGAAAACGAGGCACAAAGCTATTCAGTATTCTCTTTCATTTCACTTGGGAAGCTTCTCTCAGACAAGGGGTCTTTCCTGCATACATTAGTCATGCAAGGTTCCAATGACAGAAGTCACCATAAAAGTGACTGTTTAATCATCTCCAAACTATTGACATCAAGTATAGTGGTAAAGGGAGAGGTAGGTTTTTGCCTGAAATGAACATAAATGTCACGGAAGATATCTTACATAAGATTTGTGGTATGCAGACTAGACTAGTTTTTCTCCAAAAAGCAATGAAACAGTCCATAAGACTTAACTGGTCTCAAGGGGTCTAAGACTCCTCAGCCTTGAGACACTTTTCTGACTGGGTTAGCACAATGGGAAGTGAAAAGGAGGGGAAAACGCACCCAACGGAATCAGTGCTGCATCCTTGCTGAGGATCTCTTCCATGCTATTGTTAAGTAAACCTTCTTTTGTTAAATGATGGTCCAGGAGTGCTTCATTTCCTTCCAGTCCCAAACGTGAGCCACCCAACCTGTGTCAGGCCTGGTCTAAAACAAGGTCCAAATGAAAAAATTTTCTACTGATGACAACAGTCTCCAATTATTCTTATTCACAATAATGTCTTATTAATTTCATTGAATCCTGGGACATTATACAGTAAAAGCTCTTTAGTGAAATCTACATTATGAAAGAGATTGGTATGGCCTAGAATTCAAGGCTGTGGAACCTGCAGCCTTGAGGCCACATGTGGCCCTCTAGGCCCTTTGAATCCAAACTTGTTCTGTGAGGTTTGGATTCAGTCAAAGGGCCGCACTTGAGGACCTAGAGGGCCACATATGGCCTCAATGACGCTGGTTCCCCACCCCTGGTCCTAGATTGAAAACTTATTGAGGTCAGGGACCATGTTTTCAAGATCCCCCACAGAGTTTCAAAGGTTTGGGCACATAACCATGTCTTGAAACTTAATCAGGACTTTAAAGCCTATATTTGGCCTAAGCAAGTTCTAGAAGTCCTAACCCAGAGTGAAGGTTAGTGCATGCCAAAGTATACTCTAAAGGGAGGGAAGGATTGGAGAAAATCAGGGAGGATGAAAAGTAAATGAAACCCAGACCTGAAAAAGGAGAGAGCTCAGCTTGCATGTACTGGAAGCCCTGAAGAAAGTAGTCTCTTGTTGGCAGATTCCAGAGTAAGCATCATTCCACCTTCCTTCCCTCCTTTGTTCTCAAGAAGTTCAAAGCACTTGACAGACATATCTTGGAAACTCCTAATTGCTAAAAGAAGGAGGGGTATTTTCCTTTGCCTCTACTTTACATCTGTTGAAACATGACTGTAGAAGAGACTCCAGATCCTCCAGCTGGAAAAAAGAACTTGAGTTCATTTGCCACCCAGACTGTGGGACAGTAGGAATGAGCCCTGGACTGGTCTCTGATTCCAGCTCTGACTTTTTTGGCTCAACACCACATAACCCTAAGGCAAATCACCAAGTCTCTATGGGTCTCCACAGAATCAC